GGAGAGCCGGCAGCAACGCCGGGCGGAGCGGCAGGAGGTGGAGAGGTTGCAGGAGCAGCTCAGCAGGTTGGGCAGGGACTCCCCACTCCCGCCATCCCCAGTCGCACTGATGCAGGGTTTCCCCTGGGACCCTCCCTGATGCCCCACTTGGACCCAGGGGACCCGCACCTGGGGATGGGCAGGGGAAAGATCTGGGGAGGGAGGGCTGGTGGGAGGTGTCAGTTTGGGGACTGATCGGTAGATGGTGGGCGGGTAGAGGGGTGGGTGAATTAATTTGGAGAAGGTGGATGGAGGGGTGGGTGGAGCAGTGAATTTGGGACGAACAGAGGAGTGGTTGGGTGGGTGGATGAATTTGGGGTGGGCTGACGGGTGGGCACACAGAAGGATGGAGGGATAAATGTGAGACAAGTGAATGGAGAAACGGAGGGATGAATTTGGGATGGATAGATGGGCAGAAGGACAGAGAGATGGTTGTGGAGGACAGAAGAACAGCTGAGAAGTGGATGGGTGGCTGGTAGGCCATGGATGGAAGGTGGAAGGGAAGATGGAAGGGTGGCTGTGAGGATGGGAAGCCAGTTTGGGGAAGGATGGGCAATGGATAGAGGGAGAAAGAGTAGGAGGGAGGGAAAGACAGAGGGAGGGAGGGAGAGAGGGAGAGAGGGAAAGGGAGAGGCAGATGGAGAGAGGGAGGGACGGAGGAGGGAAGGGGTGAGTAGGTGGGTGGTTGGGTGGAGAGAAGGCCAGCTGAGTGACAGGGGGCCCATCTCCCCACTGCCCCATGCCAGGGCCCGGCAGGATGGGGAGCGCTGGGCATCAGCACTTCAGCGGGCACAGCGGGAGGCCCTGGAGCGGGAGGCCCTGCGAGGTGCGGAGCAGGCACGGCAGCAGGAACTCATCCGTGACATGAAGGGGAGGCTGCTGGAGCTGCTGCGGTGAGAGCCCTGGGGAACCCACCAGTGTGGGGCGATGTGCAAGCTAGGGCGTCCAAGCCCTTTTGCCCAGAGGAGGGCACCAAAACCATGGCAAATCCTGGGCTCAAAAGACCCAGGAGGAGAGTTGGGTGCCCACCTTAAGTGCTCCCGGACCTCCCCCCGCTGGACATGCTCCTGCCAGGGCTAACCTGTTCCCTCCCACAGGGAGAAGGATGCCCTGTGGCAGAAGACAGAGGGCATCGACACCCTGATGCCCAGCCCTGCACCCCGCGACGCAGGGCTGTGCACCCGCTGCCACAAGGATTTCCGCCTCCTCTCCCGGCGGAACAACTGCAGGTGGGCTATG